TAGAGAAGACGACCGAATTTCATTATTTTGGCTGTTGTGCACCAGTAATGCACGAGACGCGGCCCGCGGCTTATATAATTTCTTTTTGAGTGTAAGAACACCCCGAGCCAGAATACTGAAATAGAGGAGGCAGACAGGAAACGGATGCGCCAGCAGGAGTCAAGGACGAACGAGAGCAAATTCTCGGAAGGAGCGGTTAGGGCGACACGCGAAAGGACGGGGAGATTTCACTTTCCTCCTGAACGGACGACTGGTAACGAATAGCGGGGATGGCCACCTTGCGCTTAGAAAGGCGCAAGGCCCCGTGTCGCAGATTATGCGAAGGAGGACTCCAGGGGGCAATCCATTGGAACGGCTGCGAGCCCAACAATTGCCGAAAGTCGTCACGGGAAAAAACAAGGATAAATAAGAGTCGAGAGGACAACAACAGACGCGAGGTTCCTTGAGATGCGTGATCTATCCGGAAGGACCAATCGGAGGCCGCATTGAACGGCGTAACAGATCCCTGCGGCGGCTGCCTCTTGCGCTGCGTAACGAGTCCGGCTCATCACTGTGCGGTCCGACGGCGAGCGGAATGGACGTCCCTCTCAATAACGAGCGAACAAAGCGGCCGAAATATCTGGACGAGTCCTGAGGAGAGGCGAGCTTCTGGCGAAGAAGGGTAAGAAAGAGAATCATTGTACAGCCGCGGGTAAAAGACTTAGAGTTGCGTGTAATTCCGGGTTAGTTGCCGTCGCTTCTCGGAGGCATAGGAGCGATAAGAGGACCGGGAAATTGAACTCGTTGGAGTTCCGTGGCTCCCGAAAAGTAGGGTCGCACGGATTTACGAAGTTTAGTGGGCCACGTCGCAGGGCGACGAGAGCCGGGCTTGAGAGAGTCTCTAGCGTAGGGATCCCGGAGACTCGGGCGCGGAACTCGGTTGACTTCTCTAGTTGCCAGTCGCACGGTCTTCGGAAAATTGTTGACGGGATTATATTGTATGTTGTATACTAAGCCGTATTAGGAATTCATATATTGTATTTGGAAACTGCTTCTGGCGAAGAGCTAGATCGGGTTGTACGTAATCGGCCGGAAGCAGTAAATACTGTCGGGAAAGACCCGGCTGACGCCCAAAGAAAAACCCGGCGAGATTCGCGTAACGACGCCGGGCCAGAGAGCTGCCTGTAAAGAGACGTGCGGTATGACAGCTGCGGTCCAGCGGCTCAGCTTTGCCGCCTAAAAATTATATTTTGCGGAACCACGAAAGATCGCTCTCTGTAGATTGCGTTACGGAATATTCTGGGGTACGGAATTTAGTTGCCTATAATTGAAAGAACTCAGGCTAAGTAGAGAATCGCTATTTCTATATCACCTCGGTTACGATTATGAATTGCAGAACTGATTCGTTGTCGGAAAATTTGAGATAAAACGAATTAAAATATTGTTATTGTTATCGTTAACCAGCCTCTAAATTATTCACTCACCCGGCGCCTTCTCCTCTCCGACGCATCCGCGAGTATCAAGGAAGGACGTGAGAAGACCACGACGCTGTATCACGAGGAATAGCGAGGGAGTCGACTCGCTATTAGACAATTAAAAACTGAGCTAGCTGAGGTGGGGCCGATACTGCGCTAAGGCTGGAACGAAGAAAACCAGCAACCGACGCGGACGCGAATTGCGGTGGACGTAATAGTATATATAAAATATTATATATATATATATATATATATATATA